AAATATTGAAAGTGCTTTTTTCTGTGTCCGAAAAAGAAAGGGAAATGCATACTTTTGGGGTTTGGAGCTTGCCCTTTTTGGTGATCAGAAATTTCTAGATGTCTAGTCTCTAGGGTAAAATGGGATCGGAAATGATCAGTAGTGGGTGCCAATGTAATTACAAGCTAAGTAGGTAGGAGGCTAGTAGCAGATATATATGATGCATTATTGTACTTGAAGCACAATATCAGATCGTCAATGAATTAATAGTAGATTTCTATATCAGTTATTTGTTTCTGCTTATTAAAATAATCATTTTTCAAATTTAAAATTTGAAAGATTGGTTTTTCAAGTGTTCGTAGATTCTTATCAATATTGATTTTGATGGAATTAATTTATGATCGTTTTAGTTAATTTTTCTGAATCATTTAACTCTCTTTTCGTTTATAATATAATATCCAAAATTTTAATGCAAAATTTTAAGTGGATGTCTCCCATTATCAATCAAATTAAACCCCAATTTGCCTCTCTAGTGAGTGACTATATTCATATAATTAATATTAACCGCCACATATCAAATGTGATTTCAATTCCATTTTGGCTTTATGTATTGGCAGTATTGCTGTTAGTCTCTCTCTCTCTCTCTCTCTCTCTCTCTATTATATATATTTATGCAAAGAAATTCTTCTGGATGATTCATGAATGACTGGTAATTATAGAAGTGGAAAGTTCACGAGCCTAAATGCAGTCAAATCTGATTAGGTATTAGTTTAAAGATAATCTTATTAGATGTATAATTAGGCATATAAAGACAGCCTAGATTATCATTGCTGTTGGTGATGCCAGCCAAAAGACAAATCTCTAGGCAATAAAAATTGGAAATTTGGAGATTTGGAACTCTATACTCTTTTGTATTTCTAATCCACCTGGACAAACAAGTCTTTAAATTAGTCAATTTCTTTGCATATCTGGAGATTTGGAACTCTATACTCTTTGGGCAAACCCCCTTCGGTTTTACGAGTATCTGATCTGCTTAAAAAGTCACCTTTCAAGGGTTTTATTAGATTAATATTATATTTTCAATCTCTAAAGAAGCAAGCCCTAGAAACCAGAAATCGACATCTTTTTATTATGTCTCTCTTTCTGTGGGCGTCTGGGTATCGTGTGTGTGCAAAACTACTTATGCTCTGAGAATCTTTCTTTTGTTTCTTGATTAATTGATTCCTATGGGGCAACAAACAAGCCTAACCTGCATTGATTAAAAGACCTAATTGAACTTCTCCAGACCATTTGGGAGTTATCTTTGGTCTAAAATATTAATACAGTGTAGTTTAATCAGATTAAAAAACGAAATTTGTTTGGCAAGAACATGTGAAACCATGCCACACCCCTGCCCTAGATTGTCATCTATTATTTAGTTTTAGAGTTGTACTGTTGAACTTGAACAATCCGTATGCATTGTCACACAATTATTGGCCACAATATATAAAGATTATGATCATATCATTGATAGGTATGCTTATTTATGGCTATTGTGTGTTTAAAAAGTTCTGAGATAATAAGAGATTTAGTTATGTTTTCATATCGGTGCTTTGTTTAGAGTACTTCCTCCTGTTCTCTTTTGCCACGTCAAGGAGCCAAAACCCCTCCAAAACGCAATTCATTTATTTTCGTGTAATTGAATTTGGGGATTTCAAAATGCTATATGGTAGGAAATTTCGTTCTCCCAAAATTATTATTTTGTGCCTTAAACCTAACATTTTGTGTATTGAACCTAATGATAGTTGATGTTTTAGTTAAAGAATAATGCTAGAGATTATATTTTAAAACTAGATTAGTTTACCATTTCATATGGCAAGTGATGGTATATAATTATATAACATTCAATTAAATAGGTTTATTAATTGACGTGGCATATATACATTACTTACCACGTCAGATAGTACACCAATGCATACAAAAATATGATCTCAATAGCATTTTCCCTAGTTAAAATCTATGTTGCACCAAAATACGAAACAATAGAAATGTTTAGTCTCATAAATGGGGTAATGAAGCACCTCAATCTAAATGGCCATTTATTTACAAGCAGTCGTGGGGAGGGGGGATATAACCTAGGATTTGGGTAAATATTCTTAATTACTTGAGCTATAATTCTCTCACATATCATTTATATAGTTTATTTTTATTTTATATACACGCAAGAATAGGAGAGGGAGAGTTGAACTCCTATAATAAGGAAAACTAATGAAAATGGTTTGAAAACTTTGAGTTATAACGATAATGACAAAATAAAGGGTAAAGTGAATAGTATCATTATCGACTTTTTAGTGTAAAAATGTAATTTTTCGTTAAAATGAACAATAGCAGAAACTTTTCTTTAAAGTTCCCTAATTAATATTCTTAACCAACTGAACTACAAAGTTCAAACCTTGCTTTCCATCTCTCGTAACTTTGTAACGATTTATATCTATATTTAATTATATTGAAGGTTTATCTGTATTTTGTTCCAACCAAATGGATTATGATAAATCTAATTAGTTGGTACGATCATGAATTTTGTTCGTAAAGTAGTTAACATGTCTATACGTGCGCTTTGTGGTGTATTATCCCTTATCTTTCCCAATTATTTTGATTCTTGAATTTTGATAAACATATCAAAATCTTCCAGTTCTGTAGCATCTCCTAAAAAATTATCCATTTCTCCTGATGGATCAATAATAAACAAAAGATATATTTTTGCCGGAGTATAAAGACTATTGCTTACGTCTTATCGATCATCTATGAAACTGCAAGCTTTTGGTTCTATTACATATCATGCGTCTCATTGTTAACAAGAAACTTAGCTTTTCGATCGTGCCTAAACTTCAAGAGATTCTACAATGTAACCAGGTTTATAGCTCCCCAATATGAGTTTCTCTACTATCCTATCATACCAAACAGTCTAAAGTACCCCAACAACACAATGCATGCAATACTTAAAAGCTTAAAAAATTTCAGGCTAGACCCAAGATTAAGCCTTAATCCTTAATTAGCGTAAGGAACAATAATACCAATATCAACATTTCAACATGCATGAACATCGCAAGGATAATAAGCTTTCAAAAGAACACTTGAAATTGGACCATATATATTCTGAGTTTCTTTATAATACACTCTCTAATCACAAATGCGATAAGATATTTGCACATACACGTTTATGATATTAGTATAGACGAAAATTCCGTTATCGTTCAATTCGAGCCGAGAATAAATAATGAAGTTTCGCACAATCATATCACATAGATCTGAATCGAACAAGTTAACTAACCAAAACTTATTACAAATTAGTACGAATTCACTGCAAAGTAAACCTGACCTACTCCAATAAAGCGAAGACTAATAGTGCTAAAGCAACAAAATACGTACGTTGAGTTAGATTAATTAGCAGATTAATTAGCAAAAGAACCGTTGCATCTTGCGTGCCTGTCACGCACGCACAGAAGGCGGTGACAGGTGGGGCCTCTCATGGTGCGCCAGCTGGAACAATAATCGAAGCAAGCGTACCATCGGATGGGAGGGAAAATGAAAGAATAAAAAAGATCCCGCAATCTACGGACTCAGGTGGGCGACACGTCCGCCCTAGACGCGGGGTCCCAAGCCAACCAAGGGGATTCCGCCACGTGGACACTCGTGCTGCGTGTCGGCAAGAGCGCGCTTATCGTCGTCCTTCCTAAATCCTCTGTCCTCTGTTCGTTTCGGGAGGGAAGGAGAGAAGGCCACGTGGAGGATTTTGGACGGTTGGATTAGATAACTGTTCGTCCGTACGAGGTGGGTGATATATTTCCTTCTTTGGTTGTCCAATTGGTTTGCTATTTATGACTATTCATGTCTTTTGGGGTTTGTAAATTTGATTCACTTCAGTCACTTGCGTTTGTGGGGACCATCGGCCTCCTTCTTTGGCCTCTTGTCTATTTTATTTTATTGGAGAGAGGATTCTCGCTGGATCTCTTTACGAGGATTTCAGAGATTCTTCAATTATATCTGTTCATCGTACATTGTACTGTTTATATTCAATTTTAAATTAAAAATTTTATAATAATTTCTGACTGTACGATGTACGATGAACGGATGTGATTTGAGAATTTCCGAGATCCTCACAAAGAAGATTTGACGGGATCCTCACAAAGAGGAGCCGACGGGATCCTCGCTTATTTTATTGGACAAGAATAGTAGCGATCGTAGCATTATTTGGCTATGACAGCTTTCACGTTGGATGAGATGAATATGGTTTGAGAGAGAAACTCCAAAACGTAATCATTCTTATACTTTTACAAGAGATATAGTTCGAATGACGTGATCCGACTGATTCCGTTTCTTTCTCCCCACTTAGACATTCTCCTTAATAGTCATGCATTAAACTGCAATTTACTTATAGGACATCTGGAGGTATGTAATATATAGTATATACTAATGTGGAATGAATGTCTTTGAGATTTGAGGTGCAATTTGCATTTCCCACACAATGGGGAGGCCAAGGTTTAAACCAATAACCATACAATAGCTAAGGAATTCCTTCGAATGCAGCAACCCACATAAGGGGTGGGACCACAGGGAAAAGAAAATATACGCGATCTGAAAGTCGCACACTAAAAATTTTCTTCAAAATGGATAGGGCACAAACTCATGCCTGAGTACGACTTCATACTCTACGAGCCCTTTCTTAATATAGCACTCATCACATTATCTCTTTCTTTCTACATCACTCATTACCTGCCCAACGTACGCTTCCATGAACGGAGGCAGTTGCCCCCAGTCAACTCTTTTTACCATGAAAAATGCTACACCTAAAGGTCGTACCCAGTGCACAAGGCTTCCGCTTTACGCAGGGTCTAAAACCATAAATTACCCTCTCGCGTTTTATACTTTTCTTACTCTCCACTCAACTCTAAACTAGCAAGAGTGGGATATAAGGAATTTCATTTTCTTTGTAATAGTCTTGATGGAACCACCATGTGCCATTCCACCATCTACTCGTAGCATTTTCTTTGTACGAGCATCTTCAAGTAACAACCAAAACCACCGGCGGGGATGGTACAATTTCCGGCAACCCTGCAAGAAACAAAGCTCGCGGATGCCAAATCGTCAAATTTGGAGTCATCGACCAACAATCTTTAACTTCTTCCGAGCTACAAACAGGCATTCCGACAAAAACAAAACTCGGCAGTGTCGACATAAGAATAAGCCTTTTCTTCCCTATCGCTTCTTTTTTATAGCATAAAGAATGAGCAGGTTGAGTAAAAGATGTACAATATAACCTCGAATCGGTGGGTAGAATTTACAGTTAAAAACGGGCCGAGCAAGTTTGGTCTCTGATCCTTGTGAGACAAACGAATGCATCATCATGTGGGACGACTATGAATCTCTTCATTAAGAAGTCGTGTCACTAGACCTCGACCAGCAGGTTGCCGATTCGCACCTAAAATGCTGTGCAGTGAGTTTAATTCGTCCAAGTTAGCCTTCTTGAATAGGCTTCTGAGTGTTGTATCGACTCCAGCAGGGACGAGATCATTGTCGGATGCCTCTTGATCACTTTTTTCCTTTGACATTGTATTGCAGCTCTCACTACTTTCTTTGGATTGAGGTTTTTGTGGAATCTGTACTTGAGGTCGGGAATAGGGGCGAGAGTCCCAGTACTCGGAACAGACATGATTTCGGTCCATTGCCTCTATGGCCTGTTCAATATATCGGAAACTCTTATTAAGTCCTGATTCCACGAATCCCATCATAAAGGAGAATTAACTATGAGTTCTCAAACAAATTTACCTGTACAATAGCTGGTGAAGTAAACCCAAACATTTCAAAGCCATCGATACTCCCCGGTGGCTGCAAAGGAGGAAGGTTCATTTTTCCCAATTTATGTTGCCTAGTGATTTCTTGATTGACTCTCTCTCTCACCATTTCCCAGCATCTTCCAGCTGAATTATGTATGAAAACCTCACCTGGACAGTGCTCCAAAGAAACCTAATGGAAATAGCATAATCGATCAGGTAAATAACTAGCAATTTTAATCACAGTAGGAATATGGACAACTTTTCTTGGATCATCGCTACTTAAATACTGGTTTTCCTGGAGTTCATCGAAATTGTTCATGCTAACTACGGTGCTTTCCCATATGCATATAAGTTCCTTTACAGAAGAAACTCGAGATTGGATATCGACAGAAAAGGAATACAAATATGCCACTAAATATTAAACAATGAAAAATCCCAATACCTTGAACAGTGGTCCACCTTGTCCAGCATCCAGTACTTCTGAGACATAGTGACACCTAACAGTTGGATCCAGAACACTGATGTGCCTAACCCGGCTTCTAAATCCTGCATCAAGCAGAACAAACATGAATTACATGAATGTGGATCTTCTCGGTTGGGACAGTATCTCAAATGCATTAGTTACAACTTACAAGGAATGCAAATGCAGCTTTACCTTTTGGAAAAATGGCTTGGCTGTTACACCATGACTTTCCAGATAGCACGACTCCAATTTCCAGAGGCTCAACAATGCAGGAGATCCTCCGCACCACCTTCGCTATTCGGGGACCCTTCTGGCGGTAATATCGGTCCAAATTGTTTTGGCTGGACGATGAGGCTCCAGTTGTCGTTCGTACATTGTCTGCTAAAGTTGTATCGGCAATTCTTCCTATCTTTTCATATTTGTCCTCATTCTCTAGTTTTATACTGGCACATGGCTGTGGAAGCTGAGGGTCACTCCTTGAATTAGCAACTTTGTGTTCAAAGATGGCACTACCGTTTGGGCCACATTCTGCTTTAGTAGAAACTAATTTGAAAGAGAGGTTTGGTGGATTAGAACCTAATTGTTCACCATGATCCTGTTCAACTTTCACGTGTACAGGATGAGATGAAGAATCCTTTTTTTCTCCACCAGGTAATGGACTGAAAACCTTTTCACCCATAACTGCTGCATCAGTCCCTGGTATATTCAAGATTGGTTCTTTCTCAAAACCAGGGTCACTCACAGTTGAAAGTGGCTTCTTTGGGTCATCGTCTCCTTCATCATCGCTAAGAAGTATAACATCCTCAACTGAAGCCATATTCGTCCCAGATACCTTTGCATCCGAGGTCACAGCATATGACATGTCCTCTTGAGACAACTGGCAAACCTGCATTCTTGACTTGGAACTGTTGAGAGCCGATTCTTCTCTTTTAACTTGACGAAAAATTTCTAATGTTTTCACCTTCTGCTGCGAGGAAGTCTCACCAATGATCCCGGCTGAACTCATAGGACTCTCTTTATGGATTTCTGTACCTAGAGGATCTTTGAAGTTTTTGCTTTGCAGCTCTGAGCTAACCTCTTTAAGTATATCACTTCTGGAGGAATAAGATATCTTACCAACTTTATTGTCTTTGGAAATATAAGAACTCAGAGCCAGCCCAAGATCGAGTCGAGCCCATCTGTATACTGCACTCAACTTTCCTTCCAATGCCTCAAGAAGGATGTTTAGTTCATCCATATCATAACGAAAGAGGAAAAACTTGGCGCTCCAAGCACATGAGCAGAATTTCTTTGCATGATTTAAGCATGCATATCTATCCGGGGAACAATGATGACAACCAGCTGCTGACAGATGAAGATCAAAAAAGCATATGCTGCATTCTCTCTCATTGATGGCATCAAAATTGTTATCCATCTTCAATGCCTGTGAAGAACTAGTGAGAAATTCTCTCCTCACACGCTCCATCTCAACACGTGCCTAGGGAAAAAAAAATTATAGAATGTCAGGGGAAAACACGTTGACCCAGTTATACAATGAGTGATTGTTTGGTGGTAGTGAAATAGCCAGCACAACAACCAGATTACCCAAAGTATCATCATTCATGGCCTTTACTAAAGTCGAAAGAGGGCGACAAAAGGAAATCCTTTTCCCAATAAGTAAGCACAGTAGTAAACTAGAAAGTAGGTTTTACCTTTAGTGTTTTTGCTAATATCCCATCCTTTCCACATGCATCCTTCCATCGTAAGTTATCTGGAGTATTCTTCTTCAGTAAATTGAGTTCCCAATGTGCTTTCACCGCTTCCCTTGCTGCCCCAAGCAACAATTTATCATGAGAAATGGATGTCTTTCGTCCCTGCTCCTGATATAGCTCTATAGCGATCTGCCCATGGGGCAACCAATCAACAGGAGCTACATTCACAGCCTCGGCACAATTAAAACCACAGTTGAACCCTGAATGGTATGCTCGAGGAAAGGTCAAAACAAACTCTCCAGCATTCTGACAACATCTATACACAGGTACCCCTTCAGATTTCAGAATGGAGGGTGAAAGCTGTGTGACCTGCATGATCAAAGAAAACGATCATGATACAGACAATTTCACAGACCAGATATGATGGTTGAAACCCTGCAGTTGTAAACTTGTAAAAGATGACAACTAGTAAATGCAGATGTTATATTTGAAACCCTGCAGAAATGTAGAGGATACAGAAGATCTATAACAGAAGTCCATCTAATATGGCACAGAACAGATGCAAGATAACTCAAGTTATCCATCTCGTAAGTAAAAAATATTCACCAAGTCTTCAATATTAAAGAATCTATTTAGCTATGAAAAAGAGCTAACGAAGGCCACAACCATTTAAAAATAAACTGCCACAACCTGATTATACAGGTCTTGTCATAATTTACCCTTCAGTCCGTCTTTCCAACAGAATGCTAGGTGATATTACTTCCAGGGAAACTTGAGTGACATTAAAACTTGAAAAAACATACAGACTACATTCACTAAATCCCATACAGCACATCAGCACAGACCAGGAGCATATAACATAGATATTTTGCCGCATACTGGAGGTAATGAGTAAATGCAGCCAGCCACAATAACTAAATATCAAACAGCTCATTAGCACAGGCCAGGAGGTGTTACTCACCAGCTTATGAAGCAAGTCAGGTTGCTCTTCAAATAGGCCAGGGAGGTGCTTTCTCATTGCTTCTTCAAATTTACAGGCATCGCTACCAGGGATACCATACCACAACTTTGGAGCACCCCAATGCATATAATTTAAAGAGTACAAGTGGTGATCTTCAACATGCTGTTCGCGGAAATAAAAAAAGAAGAGGAATCAGCCGTCAATAATATGTCTCACATATATAAGCTATGGCCTAATGCAAAAATTTGAAATAAGTTGGCTGCATGAAAAATGAATGCCGGCATTGCTTTCAGGTAATAAGTTGGGAGAGAGAGAGAGAGAGAGAAGGTGTTGCTATCACAAGATACATGAGAGGCTTGTGCTAGCACATGCAATATGCAAGCTTGGGGTTGACCATATGATGAGTGGTGGTGATAGTGCAGCTATCCTTAGATGATTAATCTGTTGTAAGGAAGAAAGATTATCTTACCCAGCAAAAGGAAGAAAAGCACATCCCTATGTATAACCATGGCACCAGAACACCGGATATATCACTGCTTTCATAAGAAAGAACAGATCCGGGAAGTCTTGGAAAGTTGTTCAAGTTCCAGCCCGAATTTATGTACTGCTCTTCTGAAGGAAAAGCATCCTTACTGGACATCTTGGGAAAACCACTACCAAAAACTCCAGTTTCTAGATCAGCACCATAAAGAACCTAGAGCAGATTACGAGCACCTTGGTTAGGGTAATGAGAGAGAGGGAGAGAGAGAGAGAGAGAGAGAAGCTGGTATTTGCCTAAATTTCTCAAGTCATACCTCAATTTCTTCAGTAGGTCTCTCTACCATCCGCCAATATTCGCCCTCAATACTTCCTACCGATGGCTCCCAGCACTCTTTAAGTTTAGCAAAGTTACCTCCTATACTAGGAATATGTTCGTTCTTGCTGAAGTATTGAGCCTTGAAGTCGTCAGCATATCTTTCAAACGTTTCTAGAGTAAACTCTGGACCAGGTTCAAACCCAAACCGTTCGGCCTCACAACCTCCATCATCCCCAGATCCTCTGCCACCACTTTGATGATCAGTCCCCATCCGTGTGCTTCTTCTTTTCTTCCTCATATGACTATGGCTTTTAGGAACCTTTCTCATTGAATCTCGATTTTGCAGTTTATCGACTCTCTGGACTCGAGTAAAAAATGTGGAGGTCCCCCAAATAGCCTTTTCCTTGAGTGGACAGGGAGGCTTCCAAGAAGAGGGAGGAACAATGCGACAAATACCATATGGTTCAGCTTTTGGGCGTATGCTCGCTATATATTTCAATGTGTCTTTGAACTCCTGAAATTAGGTAGCAAACCAAGTCAGAAATCTGAATTCTCCAACTTTTTATTAACAAGTAACACAAGTAAGAATACGTCAACAAACTTCGAAACTGTAATAACTCAAATTCCACAAGTAACAAAATGCACCTCCTCAGAAGGCCTGAAGACAGGAGCGTCCTGAAGGTCGGGCCTTTGACCTTCCAGTGGATGCCATCGTGCAGAGACCTGTTCAAGGACTTATCATCATTTCTGTAACTTTGAAGACATAGGACCAAAAACCAAAATCCCAGGCAGTTTGTCGATTCATGAGAGTAACGTGGGAACAAGATACTTATGATAAAGGATTACATAGGAACCAAGCAAATAGAAGGGTGAGAGTAGAGGGCATGAAGTTTGAAGAGTAACCTTTTGGCAATTACTACATTGTGGACACCCACGTATAACCCCCTTGGGAAGAACAGATCTTGGGGGACAATTCTGTAATAAAAGTAGTATATGAGACACCATTTGCAAGTATAGAATTAAAGCAGGGAAATGCATATAAATGATTAAAACACATAAAATCAGAGGAGCACTGAAAAATTACTTGTTCAAGTTGCTCCCAATCAGATTCATCCTCTGACTTGTTATTTTGCCCATGATTTATGCATTGTCTGCGTCGAACAGACCTCTTTGCAACCCCACCAGTGTCAATGTCAGTCTCCATCTGAACTGATTGTGATTTAGAAGGACTAGCAGTTGCTGAGGAACTAATTCTGTTTTCACTATCTTGTTTCTCACTTTCATTTGCCCTTTGTAAGCTGAAAGATGCAAATGACTCAAATCCGGGTGGAACAGAAGGAAACTCATCGTTATCCTCTTGCATGCAAACTCTCATGAGTTCTGTCCCCATTTAGAATTCTCCAAACTGTTCGTCTACGTGGAAAGAATGAATTAATTTAGAACAGAAGTAGGATGATCGCTTATCTTCTGGCTTATGAACTTCAACATAATGAAATACGCTGTTTTTATCTGACTATTAATCGCTTCAGGCAACTTAGCAGAAAATCAAAGGTTTTGTCTGCAAAATCGAAAAACAGACATCTTAGGGTTTCGAAAGCATGCTTCAGCAAACCAAATTTATTTGGCTTCATTAGCATTAACAGACTTCGGGGACACCAAATTCAGCACATTGGTTCGTAACAATAATATATTTTCTAGTTTTTCAGAGATGTTGCTAGTCACATTTACATCAAATTCTGAACAAGAACATATACATATTCAAGATATGTTATGAAAAAGTTCAACTAAATAATCTGTCAAAACGAAACAAAAAAGAGAAACGAGCAGGTAACTGTAAATATCATATAGATCAGCTCCATTATATTATTTGATCCGAATCGACACGATCTCAGACACAACTATCATCACAAATCATTCATGCACAATACACAAAAAATTCATGAAAACAAACATAAATTAACCAAGTGAACAGACATTATGATAATTTCATCACATTTTACTTGAAATTTTCTTAAATGAATTGAAATATTACTAAATATATCAAATCAATGATTAAAAATACCAGGCCTTTGTAATTAACGATAATTTTGTAGCATCAGACAGAACTAGAGAGAGAGATGAGATTTGCCCAAAAAGTCAAATTAGACAAAAATTAATTAAATTTCAATAAAATTAGGGCTTACATCGTGATGATCCAAGATTATACAATCCCCACTGAGCTAATCCAGCTCAAACTTCCATTCACTACACCCAGAATTTGCAGAAACCAGATCAATTAAACAAAAATTGATTCCAAAAACTAACTCAAAAAAATAAACTAAAGTCAACAAAAATTTCAAATCCGTGAGAAATTAAGCAAACGGATTTGATTGAACAGATCTAAAAACCCTAACCCTAATCCTAACCAAGACGGACCAGTCAGAAACAAAAAGCAGAGAAAATGGAAAGCACTTTTGCTACAGACGAATTGGTCAGAGATGGGTACCCACCAGCAACAAAACCGAAAATGACAATCAAGGACAGCCTCTCAAACAGCCTTGAATGTCATCTGAGACTCGTATATAAGCAAAATCCAGAAACCATGGGGCAAGGGTAAATCTGGAAAAAGAAGGACACAAATTGTGGAACCAAAATTTGGGGCTAAAATTCCAAAGCTGGAAGAAACCCTAACCCTAACAAGCTTGGAGATTGATTCAGTGCAATTTAATTTTTGTTTGGTGCAAAATCAGCATCTTTTTATTAAAGCTGACAAATAACAGATGATATGATAACAGTTGGGACTTGGGATAATAATGTTCCCCTTTTGGATTCCGAAAAATCAATTGGAAATTAAGATCTAGGGTTTTTAATTTTTTTTGGGGGAAATGGGGATTTGGGGGATCCTATTGTTTTTGTGATGAATTTTTTGGATAAATATGTGATTTAAAAAAGTGGGTGTATATTTTTAATTTAATTTTTTTACCTGAGTTTGGTTGGTTGGTCGGTTTCTTTGAGATTGCGTGTGGAAACCAGCGAGACTTTATTGGACAAAGAATGTTAATTCCATGGGCGCCCTTGTGAATCGTATTAAAGCTCGTATAGATATATTTTTAAAATGATTGAAATTATTTTTGGTGAAAATATTTTTGGAATCAATCCTTAATAAAAATGTAAATAAATTTTAGAAAATCACTTAAAGTACTTCCTGGAAGAAACACATACTGGTGCTTCTTGCATAAAGCACTTTAAGTGCTTTTGGAATCAAAAAACATTTTCTCTAAAAACGCAATCATTTTAAAAGCACATCCAAACAAGCCCTTATTGTAGGGCTGTTCGGTATGGAATCCCAAATCGAAAATGAAATTTCAAATTTCAAATTAAAAATTTTTGGTATTCTTAATTTTGGGATTTTCGAAATGTTTTCGGTATTTCGGGATAGATCGGGATTGTGTTTTCAGTTTTTGGCTTTTGAGCATAAATTTGAGATTTTTGAGTTGTGGACTAAAGTTTGGGCCTTTGTGTCACATTTCGAGCTCGACTTCACTGTAGCACGATATTGTCCGCTTTAGGCCCCGGTTTTGTTTCTGGAAACTCACGCAAGCAGAACTTCCCAGTGGCTCACCCATCATTGGATTGCTCTCAAGTGAACTCGCTTAACTTCGAAATTTCGATGGAACCCGAAGCCTTACAGGATGCATCAGGATGTGACACTTCGACTAAAAATTTTGTTGCCCATTTTCATATCATTTGAAATTTAGGCTTTTAACTTTACCAATTTGAAATTCCGTACCAATTGAAAAACCAAATCATTCTTACCAAGTCAAATTGATGGTCCAAAATTTCAAACTACTTAATTTCATACTTCTATTTCTAATATAGTCTACTCTCAAATTACTTAAATTCAACATTCAACATGCATGTAACCAAAATAAATATACGTATATATTTTCGGTTCGGGATTTCCAAACTATTGAATATGTAATTCCGATTCCCGTACCGAAAGGTTCGGGATCGGTTTGGTATGGATCTCAACAAATTTGGTATTATCGGTTTTGGAATTTGTCAGTATGGGATCGCGATTTTTTTTTTTGTTTGGTTTGGGATTTTTGAAAAAAAATAATATTCCAGCCCTAGTTAATTGCTTCGTTTGGTCATTGTTTCGTCGAATGGCTCGTTCAGGAGTACCTTTAAAATGATTGAAGCGTCTTTTACGAAAATATTTTTGGATTCAAAATTCTTAATAAAAGTGCAAGTGAATATTATAAAAGAATTTTAGTGCTTTGTGTAAGAAGCATATAATTAGTAATTCTTGTAGGAAGAACTTTACCTGTATTTGAAAGAAAAAAAAAACATTTTCTCTAAAAATAGTCTCCAATCATTTTGAGAGCGGTTTTAAACAAACCCTAAATGTTACCGCGTATAACTATTGGGTTTGGGATGAATATGTCCTATGCATCTTATTTTGTTAGGAATTAACTTGGCTGTTGAATTAGGAATTCAATTCAACAACCACTCCTGCTTATACTCAATCCCATGTGGACATGTGTCTAGGGGTGGGTTCGGTACGGTTACCGTACCAAACCCTTTGTACCAATTACCATACCAAACTTTCGGTTTGGTAAAATCTATTACCATTACCGTACCAAACTTTCGGTATACCGAAGTGCAGTATTGCTAAAAGTTCGGTTGGCATGGTATGGCAATGGTAATTGCCATTTTGTTTTGGGACAAAATCTGTTTTTGTTTTTAACCCAATTCGAGGGCAAAACTTTTTTTTTTGTACCTTTATCTCATACATTATAGATTAAATTCATCTATTATTCATCATTCACAATTCACACACATAATAATTCAAATGATGCATCAAGATTCATCATGAAAATTAAGCTTACAATCCAAATAGAAGTTACGAATCAAAACACATAGAAGTTAACAATCCAAATATAAATTAAAGTTTCAAACCAAATGAAAATTAGAAGTAAACTTCAAAAATGAGAATTCATTGATCAATTATTCAAGCTTAAAATGTCGAAGCTTGTGGAAGAGGCATTGAACTTGAAGAAGATTGAGTTTGTGTCAAGCCTACATTACAAACAAAGAAAACATATTAATTAGTAGCAAGAAGAATTAAAGTTGAAAACCATTTAATAACAAATTTACTAAAAAAATTAAAGCATATTTTCTTGTTTTCTCTTCTTCCATTTCCTTGTAAAATTGAAGCATATATTCCGTTGGTTCCTTGTAGAAGTTTAATTCATCTGCCCTAAGTCAACCACTAGTACGCACTAGTGCCTCCATTATTTTAGTAGTCAAGGATACCCTAAAGGGTCTACAACCCTCCTCCCTAGGCTAAATGCATTTTCACTAGCAAAAGTAGAAGTTGGGGTTATAAAGATATTTTGGCTATTTGTGAAAGAATTAGGAACTCTTTTGTGTTTGATTTCCACAATTTCAAGAGATCAAAGTCGCCAACAACAATACTAATATAAGTAGGGTTTTATTTTCAAATTATTGGAATATTATAAATATGTGTTATATAATTATCTATTATATAATTTCTAAATTATATATTATATTGTATTTACGGTAATATTGTGGTAATGGTATCCATTACCAATACCGTACCATGAAATTTCGGTACGGTAAAATACCGTACCATTACCGATTGGTACAAAAAATTTGGCACAAAATCGGTATGGCACGGTTGGCACGGCAATTTGGCAAAAAAATCCACCCCTACATGTGTCCACGTTTTGATGTGTTCACACAAGATTGGGTATAAGCAGAGTGTCTTGTTCATTTTGTTATATTTGGTTGTTGAGGTATGAGATGAATTACTCGTTCTATCAATAAAATCTTATTTGTCAAGACAATTGACTTTAACACGTGACTTATTTGTATTTTTAATTATTATGCGTTTAGTAAATGAATATTCATTTTTTTTATTCGTCTAATATGATCAACATTGTTTGTGTTATCGTGTATTCTCTTTAACGCCTAATAAATTTAGGGCAAAAGACTGTTTATTACCCTCATGTTTCATGGTTTTCAACATTTAGTACATCAATTTTTTTTCGTCTCAGAGTCATACCTAAAGTGTAAATTTTGGGACAATCTCATACATCCGTTAGTCAAACTGTTAAGTCAGTTGTTAACTGTGACGTGGCGCCCATGTGGCCAATGACTGGGCGTCACGTGTCATCCACGTGGAAATTTAAAAAAAATTATAAAATAATATATATATATATATATTATAAAATTAAATAAAAAAAAAAAACCGAATCTGGGCAGATTCGGAAGAAGAAGAAGAAGAAGAAGGAGAAGGAAGAAGAAGGAAGAAGAGGAAGAAGGAGAAGGAAGAAGGAAGAAGGAGGAAGAAGAAGAAAAAAAAAGGAAAAAAACTGGGCATATTTGAAGAAGAAGAAGAAGAAGAAGAAGAAGAATGAAGAATGAGGAAGAAGAAGGAAGGAGGAAGAAGAAAAAAAAAAAACTGGGCAGATTCGAAAAAGAAGAAGAAGAAGGAGAAGAAGAAGGAGGAAGAAGAAGGAAGAAGAAGAAGAAGGAGAAGGAAGGAGGAAGAAGAAAAAAAATAAAACTGGGCCAGATTCGAAGGAGAAGAAGAAGAAGGAGAAGGAATGAGGAAGAAGGAGGAAAAAAAAGGTCGTACCAGGAGAAGAAGAAGAAGGAGAAGGAAGGAGGAAGAAGAAGAAAAAAAAAATTGGGCAGATTCAAAGAAGAAGAAGGAGAAGGAGAAGGAGAAGGAAGGAGGAAGAAGAAAAAAAAAAAAAAAAAAAAAACTGGGCAGATTCGAAGAAGAAGAAGAAGAGGAAGAAGAAGGAAGAAGAGGAAGAAGAAGGAAGAAGAAGAAGGAGAATGAAGGAGGAAGAATGAGGAAGAAGAAAAAAGAAAAAAAAAACTGGGCAGATTCGAAGAAGAAGAAGAAGAAGGAAGAGGAAGAAAGAGGAAGAAGAAGAATGAGGAAGAAGAAAAAAAAATGGGCAGATTCAAAAGAAGGAGAAGGAAGAAAGAAGAAGAAGAAGGAGAAGGAAGGAGAAAGAAGAAAGAAAGAAAAAAAAAAACAAATCTGCTACCCAGATTCAGAGGAAGAAGAAGGAAGAAGAAGAAGAAGGAAAAGGAAGGAACAAGAAGAAAAAAAAAAAAAAACGTTTTTTTTTTAATTTATTAATTTATTATTTTATAATATATATATATTTTTTAATTTCCACGTGGATGACACGTGGCGCCCAGTCATTATCCACATGGGCGTCACGTCACTGTTAACGGCAGACTTAACAGTTTGACTAACGGATGTATGAGACTGTTCCAAAATTTACACTTTAGGTATGACTCTGTGATGAAAAAAACTTGATGTACTAAATGTTGAAAACTACGAAATATAAGGGTAGTAAACAATCTTTTGCCCATAAATTTAATATTAATAGGTAGTAGTAGGTAGTATGGTGGATTTATACTTTTTGATTGAGTCTCGTTTTCTTTTATAACCAGTCATCCTCTTTACACGTTCATCTATTTTTTATATACTTTGACTTCTAACGCATGCATAAAATATGAACCAAACAAATAATTTTCATGGTGATTTTATACTTATTGATCGATTATCGTTTTCCTTATGTAAGGGAATGACTATAAACTTAAAAGTATAATTTCATGGTAAATTATAGAGAGCTTATCCTATAACTTTCGAATCTTTTCCGTCTGTTAATTAACGTTGTTAAAGATGAAGCTTCTAATGAGAGTTGAACGTAAAACATGTCAATTCATTTGACTCAATTATTGAGCTAATTAAGGTGGTGGCTTTGGTGGTCCTTCTTTGATTTGTTTTCTCACAGAAAATATGGCTTAATTTGATTGGGCTTAAGGATTGATCCCTTTAATTAATCACCTTAATTAGCCTAATTAATTAAAA